AGCTCCATGCTATCAAAGACGTAAGTTCCCCAGGAGCAGATGCAAGAAAACCAGCTTGGGCTCCTTTCTCTGTATTCTATGATGGTCTTCCAGCAGTCTGAGTGGTAAGAACAACTAGCGCCATCCTGTTCCCTGACATTGCCCTGCCCCAATTCTCCCTCTTTACTTACGTTCTGGCGCTCTCATCTCCTCTATCAATTGTTCACTAGTCATAAGATTTGGATTTGGAGCTTGGGAGACAGTTATGTTCCCCTTATGCCTCTGGATCAAATTATTAGGACTTTCCAATGGTGTTTTGCCAAGAAGCCAAGCTAATAAAGTTGTTCTGTGTTTTTCTTTTCCTGTGTGTTTATCTCCACAGAGATGGCACAGGGAGGAGAGCTGACTGGTCCATGGCTGGACTGGGATATTCTTGAATCCCCAAGCCAAAGTCTAATGACACTTCAATCCTGCCATTACTTTCAACACAAATATCTGAATGGCAGTTGTGTAAACGAGGGAGGAAACAGGCTATAATGCTTTAACCGACAGAAAGAGAATATTTGCATTCTTAGAGGCAGGTAAAATGTACCAACAATAAGGCAAAACTTGCCAAAGCCACAACTTTTATTCCAAAATGACCATTCCAAAAATGCCTTCCTGCCACTGGAAATGCTAAAATGTATGTTGGAGAGCTGGGACCAACAGAGCACTAGGTTAATAGCAGAAAGGTCTAAATATTAGACTCAGTTTTGCCAATAATTAGCTTTAAGAATCATATCAGAGCTTTGTTTTTGGTGGTACCAGGACTGGATGACCACCAAGAACCCTTCAGCTCTGTATTGTATTGTTGTGCGTCTAAGACGTGCCTGATACACAGCTCAGTCAGAGACTTTTAACTAAGTGGGGCATGTTTTTGTTTTTTTGAAAAATTAGCCTCCTAAATAAGTCTACCCTCAAATCACTGTCCTCTTGCTCACTTTCCCTTTTTTTTAATTTAAAAAAAAATTTCATTTGCTTGTTTGTTTCTGGGAGCTAAAGACCCAGAGCTGCCCTTGGCTCCTATCTACATTCTAAACAAACATAAAAATAAACAGCTTTTAAAGAGTATTTCCCATAGTTTCCTCTGACTATGGGTGGTAGACCTAGTTTCAATGGTTTTAATTTTGCCCTTACCATTCAAATATGTTTTAATCCAGGAATGAACACCAACTAGTAAATATTTTTTCTTCCCTATGTGGCTAGAGACCAAGATATATGTTTTTATATGTTGCTAACATTATGCATAGTATGCATTTACAGTATTCTTTTCACTGAATGCTGAATTCTCATTTCCAGAATTTTTTTAATTCCATGTGTTTCTTCAGAAGACAGGAATAAACAATCTTGTAATACATGATGGTTCAATACAGTTAAAAGAGCTCTAGGCTATTTATAGCAATTAGACCATAAAGAAGGAAATAAACCACATGTACATTTATTATGTCCATAAAATATAACATATGGAAATAAATTCTGACAATGATGGTGGAACTATTTGCATGTCACATTTTGGCACTGGAGTTAATGAATAGGATTTGTCACAATGCTTTCTTTTTGGATCTGGAAGGGTCAAATTGCCATAATAAATATTAGCTGTGGCTAACATTGGATGTCATCTTAAGGACAGAAATGAACTTGTCCTTATCTCACATTGCTTATTTTTCAGTTTCTTCATGATAATTCCAAAGGGATACAGAATGTTGCAACGCAGTCAAGCCTTGTTCTGCACTTAAGACGCCAGAAGCAGCATCTGCTTCTAAGGGTCTCCTGAGTCAACAGAAGCAAACCCTATTCCTGGGGATTGAGGCTCCAGCTATTATGTCAGTGGCAGAAACACCACTTAGTTGCAGCTGCTGCTTTACCTGGCTAAGTGGTACCTAAGTGCTGTGGCCCTGCACGGGGAGGGAAGAAGTTTCGCTTCTCCTTCACACAACCTCGTGTGCAGAGTGCATCATAACAGGCACCAGGAAAGAAGAAACATGGGGGCAGCCAAGGATCGGAAGATGCAGTACACGCGGAGATGGAACATGCACACATAAAATAATTATAAGATGACCAAAAATTCTGTTATTTATATTCTGTCACTGAATTCAAAGTAGAGCAGATGCTGATAACAGTTGAGTGCAGTAAAATCCTAACTCATGATAACGGCCTTTGACAAATTTAGCATTAAGCAGTGGGTGGGAGCATTCAAAGGAGATCAATGGTGCTTCATGAGAAGGGGAGACAGGGCAAAGCAGTAGGGAAAAGCACCCAGCAGACACAGGGGTGGGAGGCCAGAGCCAGCAAGGCTCTAAAGTAGGAGGGAAGCACATCCAGAGAAGGGATCTCCCACCACCAGGCTGAGGAAGGAGACAGGGGAAATAGATAAATAGAGGGGGTGGAGTGAATGGGTTGAAAGAGGCTCTCTGAATATGTGATGTAAAACCCACCTTCTTCTTCCCTATGCAACTGTTGGTATAATCTTCATTTCTCGCACATGCTCTGTGAAATGGATTTTCTTCGGGGAACTGCAAAGACTTGCTGATTCCTCACTGAAGATCTGAGTGAGGAAACAGCTGATGCTGCTCGTGTGGATCTGATATCTAGTCTACCATGGAAATATCACAAAGCAGTAAGTGAGCAGGTGTTCGAATTCTACCTGCCCATTAAGGCCCCATTCAAATTATAACCTAATCCAAGAAGCCTTTGCTTAAAGTGGGTTCTCTTTCCTCTGAGCTCCTGTATGGCTTCATTTGTACCTCTTTTGTGGTACTTACTACTAATCTCTCCTTCTAAGTTGTACACTTCTTGAAGACATGATGTGTTGGAGGCATTTTTGCAATTTTACATTGGCTAGTACAGGGCTTGAATGTAGTAAATATTTGCTGAATGAATAAGTAAATCTATGAATGTTGAAATAATATAGTATACATGACATGCATAAATTCTGAAGGAACTCTGTGTACATAGGTAAAACGTGCTGCAGTAGAATTGGTCGTGCAAGGCGTTTAGGCAGAAGTAAATTTTGAGCTGGTTCATAAATAAAATAGCGGACTTGGATGGATGTGGACCATAAACAGCCTTCTAGGAGAGAAAACAGTATTACTGGAAAAAGCACTGACCATGATGATCCAAGGATGCAGCTGTGTATTTTTAACAATCCCCACTTTCTCCCCATGGAGAGGGAAAACTAGGCTCTAGTCCTCTTGAGCGGAAGCAGAGTACTGTGGGATGAGGATAAGGACTCATAAAAGTTATTAATATGCCCTGGAAAAAAATACACACACAAGCATACGTACATGATCTTTTTAGGATAGGAGTGAAATGTCTACTAAAAGTACAAGGCAAAAACATACTTAAGCAATTCCAACAACAATATGTGATATCCTTTCAAAAGCACAGCAACCCATTTCTCATGTTAATTTATTTCATTAATAGCTGGCAGATACTAGGGCATTTACAGCAGCAAAACCAGGAGCTATGCAGGAGTGAAAAAATGATCTGCTGGACTAGACAAGTTTGTTAGAAACTCACTCATTTATATATTCAACGTTCGATTATTCAAACATTCTTTGAATCCCAAAAGCATATAAAGCACTGTGCTAAGCAATTTGGGAAATGCATACAAGTTTAAGACGAGGTCCTTGTCCTCACAGAAATTACAGTCTAGTTTGAAAGACTAGAATTGTGTGCAGGTACAACAAATAAAAGATGTATGTAGTGTCTGTCACATGCGAATGTAAGGAAACCACTTAGAAAGGACTTTCAGAGAAGGGGCCAATCACTGAGCTAAAGTGCTGCATGGAAGAGGTGGCCCCTAGTCCAGGACTTGAGGAAGGATATGACTACATGGAGTTTTAGAGAGGGCATTCCAGATTGACAGCAAGGCATTAGTGAAAATACACAGGCGTATATAAATATAGTTTAGTCCCGGAGCACTAACTATCTCAAATTCCAGACTCATTGGAATGGAAGATAAATAAGGAGAATAGAAAACAAAACAAAACAAAGAATAATGGGGTGGGCAGATCATATAAGGCATTGTTTCTGCTAGTCCCAAGGCCTATTTAACGCACAACACTTTTCCAACAGCTTAAGCACTCAGAGAAATTTTCCCAGGACTGGAATTTACCTGTGTTATTGAAAACAGCTGTTAGGTTTCTCTTGGGTAACTTTCCAATTTATTACCTTGAAGTACAGATTGTTTTCATTTTCAAAAAACATTTCAAAACCACACAACATTATATATCATGATATATTCCTTGAAGATTTTGATATCATCTTTTAGATATTCAAAAGCAAGGAAATTCCATTTAACCTAAGTTAATTTATTCTGGAAATAGTTATCATAATCATACAGCATTTACAGCAGCAAAAACAGAACCTCTGAAGTCAATAAATGAAGGCTGGAGTATGAGCCATAATTTACATTTCCAGATTATAGCCACAGTAACGAAACCCTTTAGGATTATTAAAATGCATTTTGTAAGTGTATTTATTACTTGGCATTTCTTATTTATGACTCATAGAAAGACGAAGCTAAGTGAAATAAAACACAAACTAGACTTTCACTAGAATAATGAGATCCTATTCACTCTCTTAGCCAAATACACTTTTATTAGGTTTCAAATGGTTATGTTGGTTTGATTCTGGGGAGCAATGCTTTTCACTTTACCTATCTTGAAGAACTTTCTTAAGTAAACTAATTTAGCATAAAGAAAACATTGTATGTAGGTCTTGGAGCTAAACTACATTATTTAAAACACCTAGTGGGTAAAGGTTTATTTGATGTGAAATCACAAAGAGCAAATGATTTCAAGTTTTTCTGATAGAATTATTCTTTTTTCTTTTTTTTTTTCAAGGAAGATTAGCCCTGAGCTAACATCTGCCAATCCTCCTCTTTTTTTTCTGAGGAAGACTGGCCCTGAGCTAACATCCGTGCCCATCTTCCTCTACTTTACATGTGGGACACCCGCCACAGCATGGCTTGCCACATGGTGCCATATCTGCACCTGGGATCCGAACTGGCGCACCCCGGGCCGCCAAAGCAGAACATGCGCACTTAACCACTGTGCCACCGGGTGGCCCCTGACAGAATTATTAATGACCACGCTAGAGCTAGCTGACTTGTTGGTCTGACATTATCTTAATAATTAAGAACTACCCTCACTTAAGTCAGAATGAAGTCCCAGAGAAAAGAAACGTGATCCTCCAGCCACATCACTGAATTACTACCATTTCCCTGGTACAAAGGACAGCAAAACCTCCCTTACAATTTTTCTACTCTCAGAAAATTGTTCTCACTCAAACTAGAACAAATTACAGAACATGCCTTCTCTAAAGTGGTTCATTTACTCATGGCACGGCCTTCTCGGTCATGCAGAGAAACAAGAGTGTGATCCTCCAATCAGAGCCTCTGACTCCATCATTTCTTCTCCAATGAGTGTTTCCTCATGCCACCCCATCTTGGGACAGAAGAGACTAAGGGGGTCCCTTTAGTCAGCTCTATTTAGTTACTTCTCTTACGGATAAGACCTCGAGTATTAAAAACCTTCCTTACATCCTGTTGCCTCATGTTAAACCCTGACTCTTCCAGAACATGCCCTGGAGCACCTGCTTGGAAGAGCAGCCTCCCCGGAGGCCTGGCTGCTGGGACGCCTCTGGCCCATCCACAGAAGTGGGGTGGGCCTGGGAGTCTGCGTGTGGAGGTTAACATCCTCACTCCATAACGACCAGCACTGTGGTGGTAATGGGCATGTTTTTAAAACTTCTCTGTGCCTCAGATTTCTCATCTGAAAATGCGCATAAATATAACATCCACCTCAAATGATTATCATGATAAAGAAGATAATTTATATGGTGCTATAACAAATGAGAATTGTTAATATCATTGTTTTATATGGCCCCCAATTCCCTTCAGGCATTAGCTATGAAGCTAAATCAAGGAGCAATCTGGTTACTTGTAAATCTACCCAAATTGTCCTTCCCTGACAGTCACCAGGTTTGGACCAAACTATGTTCCATGAATTGTCCATCATTCTTTCTTCCAACAGGAGGATACATTCCTTGTGTTTGCTAAGAGAACCCTGGTGCACCCTTGCAGCCAGCTCTGCAGGCACACTTACCTGACTTAGGCTCTCACACTGGAACCCTCCCCACACTGGAGAGAAGCCACAAATACTTAGGAAAGACTTCTGAAAAATAAAGTATCAGGTCATAGAATGGGATGTACATAGAGAGAGAGCACATAGTGGCTAAGAACCTGCACTCTTGGGTCAGATGGCACTTTCACTAACGACACCAGGAGTCTTGAGCAAGTTACTTAACCTGCCTGGGCCTCAGTTTCTCCTCCTTCAAATGTGGATAATGGTAATAACTGTACCAATCTCAGAGGGTTGACATGACTATAAAGGAGATTAATATGTATAAGTGCTTAAAATAGTACCCAGCAAATATTTTTAGAGCTCAGTATAAAATGTTAGCCCTGATTACCTGTTATCTTTGTTATAAAACACGACTATTCATAAGCTTGGCAGTGAAGTCTGAGTTTGAATCCTAGCTGCCCCACTTTCAAACTCTATAATCTTGGATGATGCTGAGGATGATAACTAATATTTATTGAATTATATACCAGACACTTTATGTATATTATCTCATTTGTATTTCATAACCATACTATAACATAAATATTATTATACCCATTTTACAGATGGAGCAACTAAGATCTAGAAAGAGTTTGTATTTACCAAAAGGTAAAGAGTTGGCTAGTGGCAGAATCAAGATTATTTCCCTGTGCCCTTAACCACTAGACCATACTACTTCCCCACGCTACATACTATCCACCTTGCAGGATTAAAAGAATCAAAAATAAACTCAGTAGTCAAGAAAGGTAATGATTATAACCAAAGTGCAAACCCTAATGCACTTCCTGAAAAGTCGAAGAACTTGTGAACAGTGAGCACTTGGAGCACAGAAGTTAAAGGGTTAAGGCCACCCCAGGAGTCAAGGGGAGAACATTCGTGGCTCTCTGCCAGTTCTCTCCAGACCTGCCCTACTTGGGCCTAAAGTGGCATGGCCTCCATGGGCTAATCAAAAGATTTTAACAGTAGTTAAACTCACACCTCTAAAACAATAAGTACAGCCAAGGGCCCTGTAAACACAGTCCAAAATGTCTTTTTCACACTTGGTATTGTTTGCTGACACCACTCTGAAGGAAATGGAACGCAGACTCAAATATGCTCTGCAAAACACTTCCTCTCCCAGGGACACACCCCTGCAGTACACATTTGCCTTATTCTGTTTCCACACTGCTAAAAGACTAGTTGCCCTGAGATGGGTGGAGGCAACATGAGTGCGTGGTAGAGGGCCAGGCAGCCATGAAGCAGGATTCTGGGGAAAACACGCTCTGAAATGCTCTGGGTGAGGAATGCACCATCCTTCTGAAACGTCTTGCCTGAGGGTCTATAAATGGAATGGATTCAGTCCTCCTCCTTTATAACAAGAATAGCTCTACAGTGCCAAGGGGCATATATGAGCAACAACTTTGTTTTGCTGCAAGGGTATGGACTATAAATAAATGGGATTTTAGAAGCCTTATAAAAGTGAGAAAATGGAAAGAAAAGAAATAGTAAATAGTAACCCTAAGGGTGGGGGAGGGGAGACGAGACTGGGGAGAGAGAACAAAGAAGTCTACAGGCAAGGTTTTTAAGCTTTGCCTGTGGTTTGACAAACTCCTCATCTCCCCATGAAAAAGTGTAGTAATATTTGCACTACCTGCCAATATTTTTGCTATGGGCTTTTTATTTTGAGAAGGGTAGGAGCATGGGGAAAGTTTACGACCAACCTCAATTCAGCCCAGAGGCTGCCCAAGGGGGCCCAGCAGTTATGAGTCACTGAAAGTCCCCTGGCTAAACATTTTTACAAAGAGAGGGAAAGAAAGCGACCTCCCAGGCATTCCCAGTGCTGTGAACTGGCCTGCACAACTAGCAGATTCTTTCTGGTGCATAGTGCGAAGACTGCAGGCCTTCTCGACGATCTTGTTCCAGGTTACTGTGTGGTACAAAGAAAGCCAGTCTCAGACCAAATTCAGCAAGACCTCCAAATAGTTATTACCAAGTGGCTATGGAAAGTATTATAAAATTTGTCCTTGGAAGCTCACTCCTGTCCCAACTCTGTGTCCCTCAGCCCCTCCAAAGAGGACCTTGCATGAAAGAGCCACTCAGGGCAGGTGGGGAGGCAATCCCATAGAAGCAGGAATCTCTTTGGATCAGGCGCATAGGGTTTGAACAATGGTAGGCACAGAGAAAAAGAATAGCCAGGGTACCTCTAATTTTCATCAAGGGTGGAGGTGCCAAGGGCCTACATAGTATTTCTAAGCAACCTGCACATCTGGTACATGACACATTTCACCAGTGAAATATAATTTCCAGCAGTTCTTATGTTAATTGAAAATCCTCTAATGTAGATTGAGATAGCAGCAGTTGAAGGTTAATACCCAAGGCCTTCAGAAAGTGAAGTCCTGATCAGAGTCTTTCAAATGCTAGCCAAGTACTCTTATGGTGTGTACACTGCATTATGATATTTCAAATGTTAACTAGGCATGGATTAAAACTAGTTTACACCCACTCACTCATACATATTATCATCTATGCTAAAGTATTTTAAAGACAAATTACAGCCACTATAACAGCCCATTGTCTTTAGTCCTGGAGTTAGTAAGTAGCCAAGCTGGCACAGGAGCTTGGGGTGGCCCAAAGCAGACATTACTATCACTAAAAGAGGTTTACAATCTAGTAAGAGGAATGGACATGTACACAGATAAATCAAAGGAATGAGCAAAATCAGCCTTAAGTTTGCAAAGAGTAAAATCGGTGTCGGTGTTGCCTTAGAATCCCATGCTATTTTTTCAGTGAATAGGACAACTGACTATTCATCTAGGGAAAAAAAAATTCTGATTCTTCTTCACATGATTCTCTAAAGTAAATTCCAGATGACTGGCAATATGCATGAAAATGCAAAATTTACAAATTCATTAATCCAGCATTTTCCCTTTTCAACATTTGCTTTAATGAGATAATCGCATACATGAAATACATCTATGCACAAAGATGCCCCATCACATGGGTATATTAGCAAAAAATTGGAAACAGACAAAAGTCATCAATAGGGAATTGATTAAGCCAATTATTGTAATTCACTACAGCGGACAACTAAGCATCCATCAAGCATATTGATGTACATCACTGTAGACACAGAAATATGACCACAGTACATTGTTGAGTGTTTATTAAGGTAAGTGGAGGATAAAACAATATAGTTTGATCATCTGAATATAAAATTGTAAGCCTATGTGCATACCGTGTGAAAGAAAGTTCACCTAGACATTGAGTGATTTTCTCGGAATGGTGGGATTCACAATGAATTTTGCCTTCCTTTGTGTACTTTTGAAAACTATTTGAATGTTTATGATGAGTGTCTGTATTTCAGAAGAGTCATTAAGCTACTGTGAAAAGTAATACAGGCATGGCTGTGGAGACGGCTTACTATTTTCGGTTTATACTCTAAAACATAAATCGGCCCATGCCTCTCACCTGTTCCAGACACTTTAATGGGCTCCAAGCAAATTTGCAATAAAATCCAAATCTTTAATATGGTCTAGCCCACGTCTGCATTTCCAGCCTTATCCTCTCTCATTCACCACCACCACCACCACCACCACCACCAAGTCACTACCCTTCAGCCACAGCATCCATCACTCAATTCTTTCAATTCACTAGACTTGCTTTTCACCCTGGAGTAATAGCACTGGTATTCTGTCTGCTGGAAAGACATGTTGACCCTCCCCTCACCTGCCCAGCTTTTCCTTACAATCTGACATCAAATGGGATGCCAGTTCTTTAAACTGCCCTTCCCTGACCTACAATCGAAATTAAATGTCCATTACATCCTCTCCCAGAAACAAGGACTCTTCCAACTCAGCTTTTATCACCAGGCACGATTACATACTTGTTAATGTATTTCTTTAAAGTCACATTTCCCACTGGACTATTAGCCCCTGGTAGGAAGTGACTACCACACCCCAGGATCTGCCCAGGATCTGACACTTAGGAGCCATTCAGTATATCTCTGCTGAGTGAATAAATAGGAACTGAAGAACAGGGCAAGTGGGACATGTGATTTTAAATTTCAAGACAAAAATTAACACCCAGCATCTCTTGAGAACTTTATGAGAAAGTAATTTTACCACTTTTTTCATTTAATCCTGATAAAATCATGCACAGTAGGTTATCATTTTCCATTATTTATGAAAAGATTAAAAGAGATTAAGTGTCAAAAAATAAAGATAAGTGAGTTTCCTAAAACATACAAATAATAAAAACGTTGATGCAATTCTCAAAACCAAGTCTTCAGCTCTAAATCTAGGCCCCACTGCCCTGCCCTCTTCAAGAAGCTGGTTGAAAATGGATCATCCTGCCTGAATCTGAGGGCAAGAGAGTGTCAGATGGAGCGACAAGTTTCATAGTCAGGCCCACCAGCAGGATTTATGATAGACGACTGTTCTGACTAGATTTTCAGATGACTAGCTAACTCAGCAGAAAGCCTACATATTGAAACATTTGAGAAAAACCTCTATAATCTTTGACGAATGTTTTAACTTACATACAAAAGTTCATAATTTGGAAGATTTGGCCATCCACCTGGCAGACATTAAACATCAATAAATAAAAATTAAATTTTCCACTTCTGGGTTTTAGCCCATGGAAATTGCGCACACATGCCATACAAACACACACACGTACACACACTCAGATTACATACATACATAGATACACCATAGAACATATCAGAATTACTTTTCTGGCTTCTAAGGAGCCACAAATGATACTCATCTAGTAAAAAGAATAGTTATAGCAAACAATTTCCAAAACCATCTAAGTAACAGAATTTTGTAAGTAAGCTTAAAATCATGTAATAGGTGTCTCCAAAAAAGAGAAACCATTCAAGAAGCCAAGAGGAGTCAATTCTGCTAAAGAAAAAGTTAAGAATACCCCGTTTGTTTTTTTCTCCTTTATGTCCCCATTGATGATGATGATGATAATGATCTATAGTCTGAGCAAAGCTCACAATTTTAGGGATCCAGAAATATTGGACAAGTATATGTTTTAATAGTCTATGCTTGAACAATAACAGCAACTATTTATTCCAAATAACACTGAGTCTCTTCACTCTCAGAGGGGTTTATTCTGAATTTTACTTTAGATTTAAAAAGGAACTGCTCTTCGCAAACAGAAAATAGGGAATCCCGTGTGACAACAGATAAATTCCAATGGAAAAGCTTTATCCTTTAATTTCTGAGACAAGTAGTTGCAAGTTGACAACCACTATATTCCTCTAGCATGAAACAATTTGTCATGTGATTGATTTCCCCCAAAATACCTAAGAAATATCTAAGAAATTTAAAATTTTCATTGGAAACATCTTTCAAACACCCCAGGTACTGAATTTTCCATTTCCATCACTTAAATATAAATTGTGTTGTTTGCGTGTGTGTGTGTGTGTGTGTGTGTGCCCATAAATGTAATAAAAGTGAGCGGCAACTCTGGAAGCTACAGAAAGAATTATTTCTCTGGAGATGAGATGTATCTCAAAAATGTTTCAATTAACACGAGACATAGTCTTATCATCTTTAATATTCCACAGACAGGCTATCTCATTCCTTATGGACTGGCATCTTTTCATAAGCAATATTTCCAACATGTCAGACAGAAAAACTCACAATGAAATGCTAATCGTTAGACTAGAGTTTAATCATTTCCGGCTTCTTTTCTGGAAAAAGGGGGATGCAGCACCATGCTGGGATCATTTGGGCAGAGGCCTTCTTTTTTTCTAAGCTTTGGTTCTTTTGCTTGCATTCAGTGTCAGTTGTGAACATCAGCAAAGTTTGGGGTCACTGAATTCTTGGTATTCAAGAAATATTCAAGATTTTAAAAAATTTCATGGTGGTTACAATTGTACGCAGAGAGAGATCAAAGGCCTTTGGGGTTATTTTTCCTCTTAAAGGATTACTGTAAATTTAGATTCTCATTTGGGCCTTGGAGAGAAGATTCTCTAGGAATCTCCATAGATTTCAATTTTGCCCCCAGACTGCTGGGACCTCCAGGGAGATCAAGTAGAGTCAAATGACACCTGTAGCTCTTCGATTAATTTTGAAGGCAAGATTACAACTGCCCCCACCCTCACCCCTAATCCCCTCAGCCCCAGGGAGCCAGGACACACTCAAGAAGAGCCTGTGAGGAATGACAATCTCTCTCTTATGACATAGTTACATAGGGATGCCTTCTCATATCTGTGTGCCTCCAAAAATAAAAGGCATGAGATACTTGAACCATTAGGACATTCCCAAACTTGTGTATCTAACTGGCCTAATCTAGCCTTCCCTGTTCTGATAGTGAAATCATGTAGCACAGGCAAGCGCTGTGGAAAAACGCCCTGAATCCCTTTTCACGCTGGGGCATTCCTTGAGGAGACCTCATCTAAAGGGATTGTGGCTGGTTGTGTGTAGGGCAGATTCAGCCACATGAGGTTTCTGAGAACCTGTCCTGGGGTGAGAGATCAATCAGCCCATTCCCAGAAAGGCTTTGTTCTCACCATTTCTCTACCAGAACCTCTTAAGCTGTCCCAGCAGATCGAGTTATTCACCTCTAGAGGTAGTTTTGCGAGAGGAGAGGCCCAAATTGCAAAATAGGAAGGTTTTTTAAAATCTTCATGGTGAGTATGAAAAGAATGGAATAAAAGGAGTTTCATCAAAAACACTTATCAAAGGGTATAAAATGATGGCATTGGCTCAAACTCAACTCTGAATAAAGACAACCCTCCATTTCTATTAACTATCTCTAGGAAATGACAACCACCCACTAAATACTCTGAAAATTATTGTGCCTGGAGGATAAAGAAATATAAAATTAATTAAATAATTAAGAAATTATTATGAAATTATTATGAGATTGAAGGGAAATTGAGAAAATATTCTTTATATGGCATTGTACTACCCAGAAGTACTGTAAAAGTACATCTAGATATTTTGAAATTACACATTAATTAGCGTATGTCTGTACCACTAAACTGTTAACTTGATGAATTCAGGGACTATAGCTATCTGGCTCACCAGTGTACTACCAGTGTCTAGCAAAGTGGCACATGGTGGGCACTCAATAAATATCTGTTGAATAAATAAATGAATCAATCTATGGTACAAACAGACTTGATATTCATAACAGTATGCACTGTAAGAATGTAAATATTAAATATGTTTTATATTGTTTTTAGCATCAAGCCCATTTTATTTCTTTATATTTATTTGAAAATGATTGCACATTGTGGAAGAGAGCTCTCTGCTTCTTCTGGTCCCACCACCAAACTACATTTCCCAGCCTCCCCCACAGTTAGAAGGAATCACTGGACTGAGTTCCTGCCAATGAAATGTAAATAGAAGTGACCTGCATCACCTCTGGGGAATGCAGTTAAGAGTGGGTATGCTTTCTCCACATTTTCTCACTTTCCCCATATGTGTAGCTGAATGCAGAGGGAAACAAAGTCCCAGAAGATAGTGGAGTGACACAAGGGAATAAGCCAGGCTCCCAGAGTGACCACGTGGAGCAGAGCCCAACATTGATCCATATCACACTAGAAAACAAAAGAAAAATAAACTATTATGTCACTGAATACATTTAAACATTGGGGCTGTTACAGCCATTAGCCTACATGAACTAATGTACATGGGTTAGGAAAAGAAAGCTAATATTTACCAGGATGTTATATTCCCCCAAATATTCTTAAAAAATAATAATAATCTATAGAGTAGAAAGCAGAGAATATCAGTAATCGTAGAAAAGATGAAACCCAAGTATCTCCCCTCCTTGGCACTTGCCCCTATTCCAACCTCACTCCACTTTTACAGAATAAATAAAAGGAATAAAATATTCTGAGAAAAAGGAAGGATAAATAATATGGCAGCCTCAAATTTTCTCACTACAGATTTATACATCAGGTTCTCTCACTACCTTCTAAGGCAAAATAGAATTCCTTTGCCTGAGAGTTTCTTTCACACCATTGCACTCATAAACCTGCCTTCATACTGCCTTCAAATCTGTAGTTAGCTATGGAAAGAATTTTCTTTTTTTTCAGGGTTTGTCCCATAATAGCAAATATTTAGTCAGCCCAAAGTTGAATTTGTGGTTCATGCGCCACTCTCAAATTCTAAGCGCCGCGCAAAATAAACCAGTTCCTTGAAATTGGGCTTACTCCAAAACTTTCCTTAAATTTCCTTAGAGCTGTTCATGAAATAACATCTCCACAGACTAAATGAACTACAAAATAAAAATTATACAGTTATGTAATTTTGGATACAAAATAGGATTATTCTAACGTAACACAAATTATTACCTATCTTCTCTTTTCCCATCATTATGGGTTGATGATGTAAGGAAGAAAATTAACATAAACCCAGATTTTGCAAATCTTTAGGCTTAAAAAGATTTAGTTTGGCTCAGGCATAGACACACCGGTGTTCCCTTAGCCCCTTGGCACTGTTTTCCTTATAACCACCCTTCTCCCTTTCCCTATGGAAAACCAGATCTACGGTCCAGAACTAACACAAGCATCAGTCTGAAGGCCCCATATAATAAGGCTCATGTTATAAGTTTCCTCCCACACATAATACCTTAGGAAATAAAAAAAGAGAAATAAAGTCATCAGTCTCTTTTGTTCTGAGCCTATAGCTTGGTTTAATTAAGTATAATTGTCTTATTTCATTTTATTCTGGTCATGTAGTTAAGTATGTATTATCTCAGGAGTTGTATGCCACTATTTAGAAGATATCCTTAAATATCTTAAACAAAAGATTGACCAGTAATGGGCCCATTCTGTTAATGAAGTGATTATTATGGTCTAAAGCTATACTTGGGATTTAGGAAAATCTGAAAGATAAAACTTGAAGCTGAAAAGTAGAGTTGGCATAAATGTCAAAATAATTAAACACCAACTTAAGAAATATAACTCAAGTTGAGAATATTTTTAGAAAATCTCATATTTTGTTGATAATTCAATAGGACCAAATTCCTACCATTTTGGGGCAAAACGACATATTACCTGATAAATTAGCAAAATAACTATGTTTTCTCCCTAAGTAAACTTTTCCATTTCTATCTCCATCCACAGTGAGCTCTGCTTTGGACTAGTGACCTTAAAAGGAAGCAGTATCTGCTGAGTTTTCCATTGCTGCTTCATTTCATGGACAAACCACTCCAAGAATGGCATGAATATGTAGAGAATTCCTGGCATGTAACTTGCTGCATATACTTCTAAAACTCTAGGAAGGCTGGACCTAGAAGGCATATAAAATGCCCTGAAAGCAATGTTCTACTTGCTGTGGCCTAGAATTCACTAAAAATTTGATCATTATTTAGACACCACAGAATTTATGGTTAGGGAAACTGTATATAGTTCACTACTCATTCTCCCTGGGAGTACAAACCATCCCCACCTCACTCCCTGCACACCCACACCCATCTTGCAAACATTCATGAAGATAAATTCCTAAGCCACTTAGATCAGGTTTTCGTCCCCCCAAGTCAAGAATCCCTCAGCTAAAGAGACTCTTGCACCTTCACCATTGGAGTCCTACATTCTCACCCTGGTGGGCTGATTTTACTGGAAGTAGCAGAAAATCAGAGGAATTCCTAAGGTATCAAAGCTACTGAAGTCTTCACATGCGCTTGGTTATTTGTTTGATTTTGTTTTTCCTAAAAACTTAACAAAGACTTACCTGTTCAGCTAGTGCTTATGTCGTGGTATCACATATGCACATGGAGTGTGAGGGAGATTTTCTCCTTGTTGAGTCAAATTCTGTGCTGGTGCCGAGGGGACTGCACAAGTAAACCCATAGGGGCTACTCTGAGTCCTTGCCTGGTATGCCATCCCCATGTTGGTCCATTTCTCATAACTGGAACTATTTCATGACTTCTACTGCTTTCCAGATCCAATCCTGACCTGAGGAAAGGGGCCAGAAGCAGCTCCAGCCCCATATTCCACATTCCTATCCACGAAGTGAAAATGCCCTTCCTTAAAATATGCTAATTAAAGAGATGTTCATGACATGTGGTTAAGTGAACAAAGCACGTCATAAAATAATTCGTGCAATACGATCTCATATTTGTAAGGCAGACGTATTAGTTTGCTAGGGCTGCCATAACAAAGCACCACAAACTGAGAGCCTTAAACAACAGAAATTTATTGTCTCATAGTTCCAGAGGGTAGAAGTCCAAGAACAAGGTGTTGGCAAGGTTGGCTCCTTCTAAGAATTGTGTGAGACAGACTCTGTCCCATGCCTCTTGCCTATCTTCTGGTTGTTTGCTGGCCATCTTTGGCATTCCTTGGCCTGAGAGGCACCACCCTAATCTCTGCCTTCACCTTCACAGAGCAGTTTCCCTGTGTGCATGTCCCTTTTCCTAAGGACATCACTCATATTGGATTAGGGTCCATTCTAATTACCTCATCTTAACTAATTACATCTGTAATAACTCTATTTCCCAATAAGGTCAGATTCTGAGGTACTGGGGGTTAAGACTTCAATACATGAATTTTAGAGGGATATAATTCAACCCATTACAGCAAATGAAAATGAAAAGTTTCTATGTATTTGTATATAGTTATATGATCGTTGAGAAAGAAGTGGAAAGATACACAGGATACACAAACTACTAACTTTCATTAACTAGGTATGGGATTAGCTGGGGTTAATGAGTACTTATTACGTATTTTATTATACACTTAATATTGCATCAATTGTTAGAATGAGTAGGTATTAATTTTTTAATTAAAAATATAATAAAAAGGAAAATGAAAACAAAATAAGTAATAAAATCTATTACTGGAAAGCAGAAAGTTTCTCAAATTATTGCATTTCTCCTCTTTCTTTTAATCCATTTCTATAAAGCCTTAAAATAATGATTCTCTCTGAGAGCCTAGGATGCAGAAGCCATACACTGATGAAAATAGAGAAAATTTGGATGTTAACAAAACCAACTGACAGAAAAGTAGGGACAAAAGCTAAATATAACTGATATGAGAATGATAGTTGTAATAACAGATTGTGTAAGTATAAAAATCATTGGTTTGAAGGGAGAGAAGAGAAAAAATTGAAATAAAGAAAAGTTATTCATGCATGAAACAGGAGTGCATTATAAAGATTGTTGCATGGAAACAAAGATCTGTTGATACGTTGGATGTGCTGGGGATAGAAAATGAAACAGAGAATGAGAACTCCAAGATAAAAATTAAAAGGCCTGATCATAATGTGCCTTCTTTAATGTGAAAAGATAAATATTAGAGGCAGAATAATGCCCCCCACTCCCTAAGATATCCACTCTCTAATCACTCAAAACCTATGAATATGTTACCTTTGTGGAAAAGGGACCTCATGAGTGTCATTAAGGGTACAGACCTTGAGATGGGGAGATTATCCTGGATTATCTGGATGGGTCAAATCTAATTTCATCAGTACTCAAAGCAAAGTAAACTCAAAGCAGTTTAGAATTTTTCTAAACTGAGTTAGAGAGATGAGACAGAAGAAGGAAGAGAGATTCCAAGCAGAAGGACTAGACCCACCATTGCAGGCTTTGAAGATAAGGGAGCCAAGAGTCAAGGAATATGAGTCGCCATTAGAATGGCCCTCAACTGACGGCACACAAGGAAAGCGGGATTTCACTCCTACAACCACAAGGACCTGAATTCTGCCAATAACTCAAAGGAGCGGCAAACAGAACCTCCTCTAGAATCTCCAGAAAGAATGCAGCAGCTTATCAACACCACGATTTTAGACTGCTAAATGGAACTAATTTACTGTGGTAAGAAAGAAGTAAAGGAAATGGCTGTTGACTACACTACTATGAAGAGTTCCAGATTAATGGAATGACATGTCTGCATGGCCACCTTTCTGAATAGACATCTAATTGCCAGGTGGATTCCTCACACCTTCTCTCACCATTCTGAAGGTCAGCTGCCATATTTGTGGTAGATGCCTTCTTTTTTCTGGGACAAATTGTGTCAGCAACAGAACTAGAAAACTGTGATTTCTATAGGCTACTCTCCTTTTTTAAAAGTCAAGTTCCAATTCTCCTGGGGCTCCATATTCACAACCATTTAAGATCCAATCCTGGATTCTGACTCATTATATATTTTGGTGGGTAAAAATAAACTCTAACTTAAAAAAAAAAAAATCTGAGCGACCCAGGAAACCTGTTGCAAAAAATTGAATATTTATGTCCCCCCTAAATTCATATGTTGAAATCATAACCCCCAAAGCCATGGTATTAGGTATTAGGTGAAACTCTTATGAATGGAATTAGCGCCATTATAAGAGACCACAGAGAGATCCTTAGCCCTTCTGCCATGTGAGATTATATAGAAAAGACAGAGTCTAAGAGGCAGGCTCTCACCAGACATCAAATCTGCCAGCATCAATCTTGGACTTCCCAGCCTCCCGAACTTCAGAAATAAATTTCTATTGTTTGTAAACTATCTAGGCTGTGATATTTTGTTATAGCAGCTCGAATGGATTAACACACCTGTCATTCCAGAGATTCACTGAACTACCTCCACAGAGTGCGATTTGAGGGGAGGATAAAGGGGTTCAATCCTGTGTGACTTGCCCGCTGCTACTGGTACAAATAGCATTATTCTTTACCCAGACTATTCCCTCTGAAAAATCATTCTTTCCATTTATTTTTGAGATCTGATATCCTCATCTTGGAGAAGATTATACGGCCCCAGCTAATTCCAAAGTTTGCAGTCTGCCCTTCTCATTTAGCAGCAGGTACAGAAATAATAGAAGTTAAAAACATTGATTGTGAATGATCCCTCAAAGATATTCAATTGTACTTTCATCTCTTCAGCTCTAATGAAGTTTGGATTTCTGCCTGTGTTTCCTGCCTTGATGGTTCAGGATGAGCTATAACACAAGAAAAAAAAACTCAAGATGATTTCCATGTCATTCCTTGGGTCATAAATCCAGAGAAAGAGTGGATTGAGAAACTTGTGCCAAAGATTCAGAAATTAAACAATAATAATAATAATGGAAGTTTCACAATTTTAACAGAGCAAAAATGTGTGTGCTCAGACTCTCATACGATATATTAAATTTGGCGGCGTGTTGCAAAGACGTCTGTGGGATAGGCAAACAGTCTGTCAGTCCCAATTACCTTGCGGGGCCTTGTTTTTGTTACTCCAGGCCCTCTGCTGTCTGGCATCGGCGCCCTGCATCAACCAAGATCCTAGCCAGCCAAAGAAGATTGAGCGGCACGCCTTGCACTTGAGCCTGGGAACTGTCACTCTGTTTCTCTTTAGACTTGTGACAGGGTATGCCTTTCCAATGGGCTGTCAGTTTGATTCCTGACTTGCCAAAGCAGCTGTGTGAACAGAGGTCTTTAAAAAGTCATAGAAGAGGACCTGATCTAGCCCAGCAAGTGATGACAAAAAACAGCCATTTCCTTAGGAAAAAAAAAAAAAAAAGACAGGTTAGCAACAATTATGTGACAAAATTAATTAAATCACATGGTGACCAAAAACTGCAATGCGAAAAAGAAAAAAAAAAAGCAGGCACTATCCAAACTCACAAATTAACACCGTAAATGATCCCTGCAGAAATGAACTTGAAATTAATTCTACTCGCTGAGTTAATGTGTTGAAAAAGCACATTGAGTTGGTAGGTTCTTTTAGCTTTCATTACATTGAACACTATTGAAAAAAAAAACCTATAATTGGCACCAACTCATTCTGTGAACTGCAAAGCCAAGAACGCTTTGCTGTCCATGACATTTTTTCCAGGGTTAATATCCTCTTACTTCAATTAGAGAGACATTTAAAAGATCAATCCAAGGATTAGCACCTGAGCATATTATTCTTTACTGTTTTAATGTCAGGAGTGGAAAGCAAAGAGTTTACTTCACCATAACTCTGAAGTTTCTTAAAACTCTGAGAGGAAAGGGAATAATTCCCTTCTTTAGACAGGGCAGTGATGAAGGTGTAGTCACAAACTCAACATCATTTGATATCATCATGGCTTTGTCCTTCTGACCCACACACCAAAGGAATTATTCCTTTAGTCTCCTCCCCAAAATAGACATCAGGACCCCCACTCCTCAGCCCTAAGTAATTCTCCACCCTGAAACATGGGGCCCATTTAAGAATGCGCAGAAAGAAATATGCTCTCCCATAAGAAATGGACAGTAATCTACACAATATCTCTGGGATGTTGGCTCCAAACTACCAGGAAAGAAAGAGTAAGGCTGGAGACTATGCAGCCTCAGGATTCTCCAGAGAAAGTTGTCTGATTGCCCACATTATGGCATAGAACTATCCAAACCCAAGAACTCAGTTTGAGAGATCTGTAGTCTGTTTTGGCTTCTTGTAATAGCTACCATTATAACTGTCCGTATACTTATTGTATGACTTTGGGCTAATTATATTTAGGTTCTCTCTGACTCAGTTTCCTCATCTATAAAATAAGAATAAGTAATAACACCTACATCGAAGGATTGTTGTGAAGACTAAATGAGTAAATATATGTAAACCATTTATAACAGAGCCAGGCAAGCACTATGTAAGTATTAGCTTTTATTTTTAATCTAACAACATATAACTAGCTTAATCTTCTATTTCTGTAATCAATATCTACTTCCTGTTGTAAATGAAGAAATTTCTATCATTCTATTTCCTTGTAACTGCCCTCTTCTCCCTTTGATCTTGGTTATGTTATTACATTCTTTATGCCTTTAAATAATATACTTTTATAACACTATGTAATATATTTACATTTATCCATTGATTTACCAGCCTTTAAAAATACACATTGACCTCCCCAAAAGAAAGTCAGAAAATATCTATAGGATAATTTCAGACTCACTGGGCACACTGTTAGATGGACTTGGGTCAACAGCCCATTTATTACCCAGCATCCACATGGTCTCACTTTGATTGGGGTACCACACTGGCATTCTGGCTCCTTCAGGGAATAGTATTACCTCAGAGCTGGCATCCAATAATCTCTTAATGACTTGGGTATCTCCGCTTATCATATGCATATTTATCCTGTTAAAGACAGTTTTCTTTGGGGGAATGCAAGAGGGTGGAGGGCTTTTCACAACAGCTACTTGTTCTAGGTGTATGGCTACCTAGAATTTGTTCTAGGTGTATGGCTACCTATGGCTGTGTAACAAACAATTCCAAAATTTAGAAGTTTTAGTTTAGGCTAAAGTCAAGCCTCAGCTCACCATATCTAAGGAGTTTTTAATCATACAAATAGGCTCTTAGTAGTTGCCATATCTGAGAATAATAAAATAGACAATCTTTTGGCAAGATTAATTAAGAATAAAAGAGAAAAGATACACAATGTTAGGAATAAAAAAGGGAGAATAATGACAAATGTAGTAAACCTTTTTTAAATCAGAAAGAGAACTCTATGAAAAACTTTCTGCCAATAAATTTGAAAACTCAGACAAAATAGAAAATTAACTAAAAAGGTATAACTTACTATTGCTAATTCAATAATAAATAGAAAACATTAATAGCCTTATAAGCACTTAAGAAATAGAATCACTAATTAAAAATCTCCACTATTATCTCTCTCAAAACCTTGCCCTTTATAGGCAAGTTCTACCACATATTCAAAGAACAGAACATGTTAATATTATACAAACTGTTCCCAAGAAATAGAAAAAAAAAAATAAGGAAAGTTACCAACTCATTCCATAAAGTTAAAAACCTTGAGATCAACAATGTATCATAGGAAAATCATAGACAAATCTCATTGTTGGAGGTAGATGTAAAACCCTGAATGGAATATTAGAAAACAAAACCAACAATGTCATAAAAAGTAATATATCACAACTAAATATTGCTCTAGGAATAAATGGATAATTGAATTTTAGAAATTATAGTAATTTTCCACATTAACAGATTAAAAGAGAAAAACTATATAATCCTCTCAAAAGGTATAGAAAAGCATTCAATAAAATCTAACCAATCTCTTAGGAAACTAGGATTAGCAGAAGCTTCCTCAGTCTGATACAGGGTACTTACTGCAAACCAGCAACACACGCCTCATAAAGCATTCTCTTCACAGTTGGGAAATATACAAGCATTCTCTGTCACCATCCCTCTTCCACAGTGAACTGGGTGCCCTGGCCAATACAGCAAAAGAAGAGAAAGAAATAAAATATGTAAAATTGCAACAGAAGGAAAAGAACTGTCACTACTCACAAAAAATATAATTGTCAGCATGGAAAAAAACACAAATAATTAGAATTAATAACAAAGTTTAGCACAGCAATGAGATAGCTATGAGATCAATACATAAAATTTTCCATAATTGGAGAGAATTTAAAATGTACATAATTTATAACCAAGTACTTAAACTTTTATGTAACTCCCCTAAAGAAACTCCCACAAATATGCACAAGGGATCCATAAAGGACATTCAATTCAAAGTTCTGTCTACCAAGAGGGGAATAAACTATGACATTCATATAGTGGAATACTACACAGCAGCTAAAATGAATGAACTAGAGCCATATGTATCAACATGGATAAATCTCAAAACACAGTGTTCCATGAAAAAAGCACGTTAGAAAAGAGTAGAAGTATGACCTTTTGCAAGTTAATTAACCTCTCTGTGACTCAGTTTCTTTGTTTGTAAAATGAGGATAATAATAGCACCCACTTTCTAAGGTTGATGTCTGTAATATGCTTTAGACCAGTGCCTGAAAGACATTAAGTGCTTAATAAGTGCTCACCATTATGATGATGATGGTGATGAGGACAATGATGATGATAACATTTACATACTCTTTAAACATAAAAATGATTCTATATCTTCTTTATGGATCATACACTGTAAAATTATAAAAGAGAAATGTCACAATAATAGTTAATTATGGAAAAAGGAGGGAGAAGAAAAAAGTGAAGTATCTGTCTCTATATTAATATATTTCTTTGTGAATAAGAGACATCTGAAGTAACTATAGCAAAAAGTTAACATACTTAAATCTGGGTGGTGGGTGTGTGTGATTTTGTTATATCATTTTCTATATTTCTATATATATGAAATATTTAATGATAAAAATTCAAAGGAAAGGACTTGAATGAGATATCTCAACATGTTAATAGCAATACGTCTGGATTTTAGGAGAGTGAGCGTCCTTTGTTTTCTTGAATAGAATTTTCTGAATTTTTCAAATTTTCTACAATAAGAATGTATGCTTTTATAATTAGACCTCCAAAAAAGAATTTTTTTAAAGCAGAGCTATCATCCTTTTAATACTGAAGTCACTAGAGGTCTGCTTCATCTAAATTAATCTTCATTTAGATGTCCTCTAATCCACACCAAATCTCTCTATATTACAAATTACATAATTTAATACAGCATTTGACTTATTACACCAAAATTTATGTTTACAAAATAAGCATCCCTTTCTTGCCTTTAGTCCTTAGAGTTATAATTCACAAATAATTTATGGATGTTTTTCACCATCTTATTGTAATATAATGTCATTCCCTATAAATTTCAGATTCCTGATGCAAAGGTGGAAGGGGTACTAGGATCCCTGGATGTATTTCTTAGAAAACCCACATAACAACACCATCACAGATCTTCTCTAACCTCCCCTATTTGATGTTTCATGTCTAAAATTGCATCTAATCTGAAAACAGAACTGATCTGCAGAGACCTTGTAATTTATCTTTTCCCATGATTACAATTTCTAATCTAACCAGCAGCAGTTCAAATTGAACTCTGATCCAAATGATCAATAGCCATGTGCGAGCCATTAGATGTGAGAATGTTAAATCGCTTTTGGATAAGGGCTGTCCAAATGAAAAGCATACAATTACCATCTATTAACATATATTGAAGCAAATAACACAAAACTTCAACATGTGTCACATACAACCTATCAGAATTCCAGTGATTATGATGTTAAGGTTAGATCTTATATTTTACATATGGATTAGTATTAAATTATGATTTATGTTTTTAGCTGTTTATTATTAATAATGTTGACCTTAGGCTACAAAATGGATAAATTTGTGAATAAACTATATTTAATTTTTCATTCTATCCTTTTTTGTGTGTGTGCTTCCTTAACATAAAATGTTTCCTACCTACTAATAGGAAATAGCTATGGTCAGTGAGTGAAAGGATAATTAAGTCAGTTTGATAAGAAAATAATTCCAAATATCTAACTTACTTTTTATGTTTTCCCTACAAATAAAAAACCCATACAGTTGCAAAAGCATAAAATTATATAAAGAGTAGAATTCAAAAAGAAATGAGTCCAATCGCCAAACTTCAGTGTCAGAGAGAATAGCAATGTAGTTCTGCAAACATCCCATGCTAACTCCTTCCAATACTAACAATGAAGTCTTTGGAAATTTTTCTTTCTGAAAACCTAAATCCCTAGTGTTCTAAGGTAAACCTAGATAAGTAACCTTTTATGGCATGTTTCCCAGTCTCCCTTGCATCTAGCTGAGGGTTTTAATCAGTGCACCAGGACAGTGTATATAAGAAAGATGATGTAATCTACTTCCAGATCTGTCCTTCAAAACATCTCCTGCCATCTTTCAGGCATCTCCTCATTGCTGTGGTGAGGCCACATGTTCCAAATGCCATAGCTAAGATGCAAGAGTATCACTCAGCTGCATGGATTTTGCATGAACCAAAAATAAACTTCCATTCTAATAAGCCTCTGAGGTTTCTTAGTTTGCTTGTGACTACATCACAGAACCTATTCAGGTCCTCACACTTCCTAAAGGTCTTCTCCGGTGTGAGCATAGTGAGAAAAATTTCCAACATTCACTCCCATTTCCACCCCCTCCCATCCCCAGCCCAGGCCCTTCTTTTCATTCAACAGCGCTGTAATTCAGGGTCAGCATCCTGTCCTTAGATGCTTAGATGCTTAGATCCTGCCCTGATGCTTAGATGTCCTTTTTCTCCCTCCATACTTACACAGACTTAGCCCCCAGTCCTTCCTCATTTGTACTTACATCTCTCTGTTTTCTCAGGATCCTAAATTTTAGCTCTCAAACACCATTCTCTCTCTTGGGCCAGAAGTGTATTTGGGCAAGCTGTCCTTAGATGTCCCTGCATCTTTACTTGGAGGGGATAATTCCCACTTCCTATCATGCCCTGGGATACAGAAGCCACCTTGTGAGAGGGTTCATGTGTCTGTTTTTAACCTGGGCGGGACCTGAGGGTCACAGAAGTTAGATCTTCTGCTTCAACAGATTTCAGCCTTGTTGGAAAGAGGAATATGGAGCTCTCTTTTCTGGTCTTTTTGGGGGAGGGCTAAGGCTGTTATTTAAAGTCACTGCCTTTACTTCTCCTGTGATTGTTTTCCTGATGAAGATGTTTCTAATGAAGCCCATTAAAAACACAGGGAAATCTAAATAACGTCCACCTTCCATTCCCCATTTTAGTGCTTTAACTTTCTGAGTGATTGTTTGATGAGATTTCCCCATATTCTTTGCATTAGGGCTCCTTTTACTAACCTTTTACTGAGAGATCATTTGATGAGATTTCCCCCACTTTCTTTGCATTATGGCTCCACTTCTTCTTTTTTTTTTAATCTTTTTACACAGGAATCATTTCCACAAACCTGACATGTAGAACTAGAGTCTTTCAAGCAAGGTAAAGATTAGCCTGACCTTCCTTACATCAATTAATCAATATGGTTACACCATAGATTTACCTTTTAACCTTGGTGCTTCCACAGTGCAATATTAAAGCATGATTTGTGAGGTTGTTCCGCTTTATATATGGTTAAGAACAACCTTCTGTCTGTGTGCTTTGATAAAGTGTCAGAACATAATGCAACACAGGAGGGAAAGGAGGCTTTTATTGTCTTCATTGAAAATGGCTTTGTAAATCTAAGATTGGAGCAGCAACACCAGCAAAGCCGGCTGATTGAAACTAACTGCTGGGCTCTGTTTGTAGATTCCTGCTGCTGGAAAGGCCAATGTTGAGGAATGCTCTGAAGGGTGGAATCATTTGATCTGAATTTCCGATTGGAATATGTCATCTGTTGCCAGTATCAATACCCCCATCGCTGAAGCTTATCTCCAAGCCAAAAAGAAGGGCTCCTTGCAGGACATTTGCTCCCGTTCAAAACATCCATAAGACATTTGATCTATACCAAAAGGTCCTTGATATTTTGTCCTGTCCAAAACCATCTGGCATAGACCAAATATGCTCACACATTTTCAACAGGACCAAATGTCAAGGACCTTTTTGGAGTGGACCAAATGTCTTATGTACCAAATGTCTAATGGACATTTTGGACAGGACCAAATGTCTGCTAATGGAAAGGTTTGCTCCACTCTATCCTAAACTTAAAATTGCCACTTTCCTGCCTGCCTTAGCCTGTTTCACAGGTGAGGAATTCAGAGAAGGCAAAGATGCTGAATTATCTTTAAATATGATCGAGACCTTTCACTGAATCCACTTAATGTCAGAGAACACTACCACTGTGTCCCCCTGTGTCTTTATAGACAGAAAGATTCTTCACCAGACCACAATGAGCTTAAGTGTTTGTCTCATAAAAGAATTATAGAATCTCTTTTTGGATATGTCATCCATCCCTTTTGCTTTACAAAAGAGGAAATTGAGCCCCAGAAAATAACATGTTTTGACCCAGGTTCCACAGAAATTTAGTGGAAGATTCAGACCTTGGAAGACAAAGCAGTTCCTCCCCCAAATGCAAAGCTGCAACACTAGCTCTTAAGAATGCTTTTAATTCTGTGATGATATTTGCAAACTTACCACTTCCACAGAAGCCAATAATAAAACTTCCTGTGGAGGTGTACGTTTCCTTGGGGCTGCCTGGCAGTGCTCTGTTTTCACCTAGCCATCTTGGTGTACCATCCTGAATCAGAAGAAAATTCAAATTACAGCTCTGCCACTTACCATCTGTGTGACCTTTGGTAAGACCTTTAACCTCTCTGTGCCTTAACATTCTCTTCAATAAAATAAAATAACTACCTCATGGGGCTATTTGTAGGGTTGAAAAAGTTAATACATATAAAGCACTTAAAACAGTATTTGGCACATAATAAACACCATATAAGTGTTAGCTCATATTATTCCTTGCATCCCTTCTCAGATTCTTCAGTAAATCCGGGGCATCAC